GTGAAGTTTCACAATCTGATTTCTCATTTCCTCTGGCTATTCTTTTCCACGTGGAGCCATGATGCAAACATGCAGATAGACAGAGCACATAGGTCCAAACCTGAGAAAGTCGTGTTCATGCAGTTAAGGCTGATTGAAGAACAACTGTGTGCTCAGTTTGGTGACAATGATCATTTACTGTGGGTGCACTGAGCTCCTAAATAGGGCCTGTATCTTTAATACACTGTAGTCTTTCTAAAATATTAGTTTTTCATTGTTCATAAGAGGAAATTCTCTTCGGAGCTGACTCACGTTTGACATTTAAGTGATGTTGCACAGGGGTGTGTTCATTTGTTTATTGCAAAAAAACAAAAAAGTAGGTGGTTAGTTTTCAGATCTCTCCTCCTTGAAGGCCTTGGGGGAACCTAAACCTTCAACAGCCAAGTTTCAAAACTTGAGCTGGGAGGAAATCTGGGGATTTTTAATCAGACAGTGTATATTTAACTTAGTGGGATGTTGTTGGGGTTTGAGGAGCCGGTGATGTCAGATTATGTATGAATACTGCAAGACATTCCAGGGCAGAGCATGTTTACAGTGACTAACTGCTTTCTCTGGAACCTCCATCTGTGACATTTCTTCAGTATGATTCTGGTCGTCTGATTTCGACATCACGTGTGGTGTGTTTCCAGCAGGCCTGTGCTGGGTACATCTTTGATGCTCTCACTGCCACCCCCTCTCTGTGTTGCCAGTCTAAACGGGGACATGTTTTTACTCTAAACAGCGGCTTTTATGTGGGCCAAATGACTGAAATTAAACCCACACACATTTCCACAAACACACATGTACCAGCACCTGAGTAATCTTGTTCAGCATAATCCCTAGCACCCCTGTCTACAGTCATTTTCAACCGCAGAGACAGTGAACGGATGTATGAGGAGAGTGCCTTCTGAAAACAAACCGTACAACAGGATGACGAGCATAATGAGACGATGACGAACTGCAGCGCAACGAGAGAAATTCCTTCTACTGAACATTAACATTTCAGTCATCAGTGTTTACTTCTGGCTCCATCTCTTTAATCAGTCACTCATCAATAATAAAAGACCTCAGTAAGCAGCCACTTGCTTCTCTGGGAAACTGTCCAAAAAAGAAAATTACGCACACAAGCGACCTAAATTAAACATTTTTGGTTAAATTCCTGAGAAAAACTGCTGCTAGATTTTCTAGGATGTTCACCCCCTGCCGGTTGTTTTAACAGCAAGTTTTACAGCTGCTGGAATCAATGCTATTAAAAGACTGAAACAAAACAGTAAAAGAAGAAAAAAAAAACTGAGCTAAACGAAGATCAAACGTGAGGGGAGCTGCAACATCAGATGATCTGTGTGTTATTATTACATCAACTAATTTGACTATGCACACTTGATCCTTTGTTACTATGGAGGAAGTGACTGAAGCCACCTCATGAATACAGACGAAAAATGTGTGTTGTTAGTTTGCAACAATATGTCAAACAGCAACTTGTTTTTGGCTCTAATACACACATCATTTTTAAAAATGTCAGTTGTAGTTGTTAAAATACATCTTTGTCAGAGCGATAGGCTTCCAGTCTTAGTTCTGTACTGGCTAACGCACCAAAAAGTCACGGAACTTTTATATGAATGTATAATATTAACAACAATAATGACAATCAATTATCATATTATTACTAGCATCATTTTTATTGTAAAATACGTCTACTACTACCACAACGATTACTCTGATGACAACTACAGCTAAAAATAAAAATAAAAAATAACATCAATCGTACTATCACTAATATAATATTAATGATAAAAATGTAAAAATACTAATACGATCATGACGACTATGAGTTATATGATAAACTAATAATAAAACTAAAATAATAACAATATATTAAAGCAGCAGTTTGAGGGGTTTTTTTTGCTAAAACTAAAAAAAAAAAAAGGAAAAAAAAAAAAGCGGTTATTAATTTTGCTCACACTCAGCCCTGAATGAAGATTTTAAATTACCCCAAAAACTACTGGATGATTCCACACGCTAACATACATTTGTTTGAACAACTTAATTAAGAAAAAAAAAGTTGAGACAAAATGTGAGTGAGGGGACAACTAATCTGCAGCAGAGATGTCGCTTCATTTTGGCAAACAGCTTTGCATTTTGATAGAGAAAAAGTGACTTTTTTTTGCTAAGGAATCGCTCAAAGGCCTTTTGATGCCACACAGAAGCGGACAAAGTTGTTTGCAAGGACGGGTGTTTTTTTTTGTTGGCCACAGTTATTTGGATTCATATTTTTCCTTATTTGTCATGCAAGTTCCTTCATACCAGCTGATGATCCTCCTGTTAATGTTTGAGTTGACTACGAAGAAGCAGCACTGCATCAGACCCCCAGCAACACTACAGTGACTGGTCACAATCCAGCACAACTACATAAAACATCAACTTAGTTCTCATACGGTGTGAAATCAATGCTGAAGCAGTGATTCTACGAACGCTAAGTACTAACATCATTCGAAAAACAAAAGAGTAAATTAGGAGCCAACCTGTAACAAGGAGGAGAAAACTATCCATCCATGCTTCCACTCCTGTGTGTCATCTATCTATGTGCCGAGCTCAGCCTGAACCCTGGTGAACAGTGACGGCTCATAGAGAGCACAGAGGGGATCGGGACGCCGTCAGTGTGGAGGGAGGAAGAGAGAGAGAGAGAGAGCGAGTGGGTGTGGCCCAGAGCCTGAGAGAGGACTAAAATAACCGAGTGCACTTCCTTGACAAGCTGAGTGCAAATCTGTCTGATAAATGTTCACACACACAAACACACACAAACAGCCTCTGAGAGAAAGAGGAAACAGAAAAGGCTGAAGACAGATCGTGCAGTTATGACATTACAACGCGGGTTAAGTTACATCCCCTTTCGACGGCGAAAGATTAAACTATCCAAACTCGGAACACACTGAGCCCGTACAGGCCCATTATTACGGCACACAGGCTTTTTTTTTATTCTTATGCAATTTGCTTTTATCGGCTGCAACTATTTATTGAATAGTCTGCTCATTATCTTCATGATTTATCAGAGTCAACCAAAATGCATTGCTGGTTCAGATCTGTACTGCCCCTGCTCCTACCGTGCACTTTAACTTTTCATATAAATAGTTTGTATGTTACCTTACAAAAATACGTCTAAATATAAAAAGTCTACATCCAGGCCTTCAGGGCATCAACACTGAGAATCAGCGCCAACACAAATGTGTTGCAGGTTGAAATATGAACTGTCTCTAAAGCGTTTTTAAAATCCCTTATTACATCACATGCAGAGCTGCAAAAATGACTTCTCCTGGATACTACGGACATGAGAACAAAATATCACTTAAATGCAAAGTAATTCAAAATTGGATCACGTACTTCACATTTCCCTCTTCCAACCAATCAAAAACAAATACGTCAGAACAATACACTGAAAATACGGGTCCCAAAATAGAAACAGTGCAACAAAAGGTAGTACACCTGTGATCTCTGACAGACAAGCCAGAAGACCTGGGATTGTTTTTCATTCAAACCGAGTACACCTGTAATTTCCAACTGCATGGACGTGGTATCTGCACGTCTACATCACGGCTCAGCATGAAAGAACAACTGTGAGAGGAAGACAAAAGACCTAATTGTGAGACTTGAAAGATGAAATATGATTCAGAAAGCAGGTGTAGAGCGAATCATAGTACCACTAATCAGAGCTGCAGTGGTGCTACAATCTAGTCCTGAAAAACACAAGGGCAGCTGCTTTAGATGCAGCACAAGGGTTGTCAGTGGAAATCAGAGTTTGTGGAAGAGCTCAGAAAGAGTAAAGGACAGCACATATCGTCAACTTCTACGGAAGGCATCAAAGAAAAAAATCCTTGCTGATGGAGTGGAGCATGTTGGAGGTGAACTGACCAGGACGACCACAGTGAATGCATGATCCTGACAGTGAAGCACAAAGGTGGAAGTGTGATCATATGGAAATGCATGAGTGCAAATAGGAGATGACATTTATAGACGGCGGCGTGAACGTCTGTGGATATATAATCCTGGCTGACAAGATGACTCAGAGTCTGCAGAAGCTTAACAGAAGAGGAATCTTCCAGCATGATAAAAATCCGAAGCACACTGGTAACATTACACAAGAGTTTCTAAAGAAACTCTTTTTTTGAAAAAAAAAAAAAACACGACGGTGACATTTCGATTAACTCATGATCTTCTAGTGGTTTTTGAAACACTATCATTGTTTTAAACTGATCTCTTTAAAAGCTGTGAATCAGGACCTCCAGGACACTGCAGAGTTTGCGAAGTGAAACAACTCATCCTCTCGGCGCAGCGGTCAAAGTGGGAAACTGCCAACAGTGGGGTCATCGGTCATATCAAAACTCTAGCTAACAATGACACACTGCTGCAAGGACGTGCGTTTGTGACCCACACCATGATCCGTCACGTCCCACCCGCAAATACTGACAGCTCATTGGAGCCCAGCTGGAGGCATGACTGTCATCGTTATTGCTGTCGGCATGACAACTGCAGACCCCGTTGCCGTGGGAATCGTGTCCCCTATCCACATGATGACGAGTGACCCACTGGCAAGGTTACGCACACAAACACACATTTATACACAAACAATCATCAACTGAGTCACAGAGACAGCAGGAGACGACACTGCAGGATAAAAACTATTCTTTACCAAACATGTAAACTCAAGCTTCAATAGCACAGCATGGTCTGATGATGTCTGCAGTTGAATTTCAGATTTTCTAAAATTGTGCAAGGACCCTAGTGTGTTCAGTGTGTGTGTGTGTGTGTGTGTGTGTAGATAACACTTGGATGCTGTTCCAGCAGCTGTGAGCTGCCTCAGTGTGACAACACATCTGTTCATGTTCTCATATTTATTCAGGACAGAGGGAAGCGGCTCCACCTGCTGGTGAGCTGGAGATGTTACACCAGAACACAGTTTACTTTTGTCTCCACTCAGTCAGTCTTACCTCCTGAACAGCCTGAGTCCAGTGAAAGTCCTGGAGCAGCCGGTCAGCATCTCCTCTTCCTCCACACAGACAGGCGGTGAGGAGGAGGACGGAGCCAGAGAGGAGGAGGAAGGCATGGAGGAGTTAGACGAAGAGGACGCAGAGCTGAATTCTCCATTGCCTCCTTTCACATTTAGCAACCTTTCTTCTTCTTCTTCTTCTTCGTCTTCTTTGTCCGTCTCCATTCTTTTTTCTCCACCAGCACAGGCCTCCAGTCCGGCCTCATGTGCCTGATCAGTGTCTGCTCCCGGATCCATAGGAGACAATTTGTTCAGTTCTTGTGGTCTCATGCTCTGTCACATGTTGTCAGAATGAACTTCAACCCTCCAGAAATTCTGGGTGCTCCATTAAAAAAAAAAAAATAATGCAATATCACAAAAAAGTCAAGCCAATGTCCTTAATTACTTCCTACAAAACCAGCAAATGCAGTCCTCCTTCGTAGCTGTCTGACTCCTGCTGCTTCACTGCACTCAAATCATAAACAGGGAATCATGACCTGAAACCATGAAACAAAGCCTCAGTGTGTACACTGTATGCAAAGCAAAGGGCCACACCAAGGCACACAATCACAACACTGAGGGAAATTTAAAGAAGAAGCTGAGATACTAACGAGTCTGACAGCGTAATTATACTTTGAGGTCAATGTTCCAAACAGCTCGCATGCACGACACTCAAAACATGGTACAGAACAGACAGACTAAATGGATTCTGCAGGCACAGCAACAACAAATGTTTAAGGTGAGAAAGTTACAGTCTCCCAAATATGGTTGTAGTAAACGACACTCAGACTGTCATTCACTCACTAATGTTACTACAGAGAATCACTACTACACCTAAACCGCTCAAGGACTCCAAACATGGCTACCCTGCAAAAGCTACAAAGTCAATAATCCACATGCCAAAGGTCTTTTACGAGACGTACAAGGTGTGTGTGTGTGTGTGTACAGAGAGAGATTAGTGCTGAGTCCTGAGGGAGAGATAATCCTTCCCAGCATTCCTCTCCATGTCTCCACTCAGGGTTGTATCAGTGCAGCAGGATTCCTGTGGCTGTCACTCAGTTTTTTTTGTTTGCTCTTCAGCGTTACAGCCCTCTTTCCTCTTCCTCCCTCTCCTTTCCTTTTTTTCTTCTTCCTCTTGTCACTTCTTCTTAACTTTTCACTGTGTCCTCTTCCTCTTCCTTCTCCTCCTCCCTCTCCTTCCACTTCTTCTTCTTTAGTTTCTTGCTGACTTTAATTACACTCCATGTGAGGTGGTCACTGACACACACAGCAACTGAGTCACACACTGCTCCACACACACACTTTCGTAACTACACACTGATCCTCTACTACAACTACCCGCCCGGCTAAAACCAGGAAGTGGATAATGACAACAATCAGGGCCTCGCTGGTAGCTGCCCTGTCACGTGCCTGACTGAAAGTCTCTGCTGAGGAAAGAAAACAACAAGATTTGGTTGAAGAAACAAGCAAAAAAAATCACTGTCATCATGCTCAATAAGCAGCTTTTCCCCCACTCTGGCTTCTTTAAGTTGCTTTGTTGACATTACAGTATTAAAATGCATAACTCCAACCTTAAATATCCCATATGGTGTAAAATCAATTTTTACTATTGATGTCGTAAAAACTTACTAGTGTCAAATAAAAGCTGTGAGAACATGATGACTGCCATTCTGCCAGCCCTGCTACAAGCACGTAGCTACTCAGTTTTACAAGCCAAGTGTAATTTTATTCAGTTTCTACTTAAAAATTGAGGATTAAATACCCGTCTACCTAAATTTTGCATAATCCTGAACCGTCTTCTTCAAGGTGAGCCATCCCAATCCACAGCCGGCTTATTTACTTCCTAGAGCTGCTTCTGTTCTTTCTAAAACATCTCAGCCACAAGCAAAGCTCACCCAACATTCTGCAAGAGTGAACACAAGAGGATTCGTTCATACGATGGATTACTTATAGTTTTGATGGCAAAAGCTTGTTGCATGACTATTGCAGCTGTGGATGTAACGATGATGCTCAGTTCTGGTCTTACGCACTCGTTCACATCTATTTCAGCCGTCGACTACTTTGCTCCACAAGTCAGCAAAGAGGGAGTCCATTTATTAAAAACCAGGGGAGTACAGATGTGGTCAAATGAACCATCTTAGCAGTAATTTGAGCTGAAAGTTGAAAGATACATTCTCAGAACATGTGATTGTCTTTAATTTGGTGAAAGGGGCGACTGAAGACGCTTATAAACAGTAAAAATGTTGATTAAATGTGTTGTTGTTGCTTATCTTCTTGTGTCAAACACAGAACAGACAAAAAAAAAAACATCCTCACTAATCTGACCACATGACTAAAATAATTGTTAATCCATTTTCTATCTGCTACACTACTGTGGAATGATTACTGAGGTTTAGATTACTTTACTATTAGTGTAGTTGTTATAGTTATTAATATAACAAAGCCGTTTCCCTCATTTCTGTGGTTTAGATTAGTTATTAGTAACACACACACACACTCTCAACACTTGCTGCCAATGTTAAGAATTCTGTCCTTCTCTATGTACCTACTGTAAATGACCACATGATGGAGCTGCGTGATAACAGACAAGCAGACGTTCACTCACAGCTCTTCAGTTCCTGCTGATTAGTTTTCGGTTGTAAATTGCAAGGTGTAAAAAATTCAGATCACACTGAAAAAAATCTTCATCTTTAAAATAACTAACAACTATATATACTTTAAAGACTGCAGCATCAATCCAGAGCGGCAGATGGTGGCTGACATCTGTGGAACATCTGCTACAAGCTTTAATTCTAGTGAAACACACAGGTACAAACGTATTATCTAATTAGCTATAGAGTAGGAATACTCTAGGTTAAATCCATATGGCTTTTGTTTTTTTAATCATTATCTAATAACTTTTTTTAAATTATGAATTATTGTGCACACTGTACAATAGACATATAAGTAATAAAGTGGCACAGTTCCATGGTGATATCAACATTTTAACTAGTTTTATTTCTTAATTCGAGTCAGTAATGTCCATGTCATCAACAGCAAGACGCATCAAACTTTGCAGTTTTTATTCAAATCAATATTCTAAACAGAAGGGTTTGTTCATATGTCAGTCACATCCTGATTTTTTGGGGCAATTTTATTCGTAAAAATATGTCAATTTTATTTTATTTTTTTTCCTGACTGTCAACAGAATTTTAGAGTTTATGCTGTGAAACAAGATAATAACCCATTTGTATATTTACATGTAACATCTGAGAAAATTTGCAATAAAAAAAAAAGAACTGTCCTAATGGAAGTCATCAACGTTTCATGATGACATCTGTTAAATTTTTGACCTTGATCACCTCGAGTGTTTTGCCTGAACGTGAATTTTTAATTATTGATGTGTGACGTCCACTACAGTGTAGATTTGACACGCAAAATAATAGATTTGTTTGTTTGTTTGAAATCTGGTCATCATTAAATACAAATCAACCCTGAAGTCAGGCCTCACTGTGAACTGTAAGTTGCCCTCCATCCTTGTTATCCACAAAAGCCCAGTCTAAGAGTTCACTGACCTGATGTTACTACAAACAGGATGACACAATCTCTCAGCACCTTCTCAGGCCAACACACACCAGCGTTTGTCATCTGACACTAGTGTGTGTGTGTTAAGGTTTGATGAGGTTTAGGCAGAGAGCACGGTTTGAGTTAAGATTACGTTGTCAGGATTACTGCTGTCAGGGCGATGCTTCTGTATACTGGATCTGGGCCTCTAAATGAATCAGGTATTTGGAATCTTCTAAAGTGCGAAGCTGTCGGCTACAAAATGTGAAGAAATCAACAAGTGTTCTGTGTTAATGCTAGGTGTGCTATTTTTGCAGTGGATGAGCAAAACCTTGCCAACTCATACGTATGTGGAGGAACACTGCAGTGTATTTGCATGAGTTTTCAAATCAGTCCTGTGACTATTTGCATACAAATGGTTTTGTCTGAAGACTTCCGGTGAGATTTACAGAAACAGATGCGGTGAAACTCAAGAGGTGACCTTCTGATGATCTAAAAGGACTCGACTGTAAACCCGTCCTGTTAGATCTCAGTGCTGCGTTTGATAGACGTGATCACAACATTTTATGACAGTGACTGGAACATTAGATTGGGATTATCACACTCAATGTTTGTGCCGTCCATCGTATGCGTTTTCATATTTTCGGCATTTCTGTTTCCTTTAAAGCCTGTCCTGGTCTTCTTTATGCTTAGACCAGCCACAGATATTTCACTTTTATAAATTAAACAGATATTTTACGGAAAACAAAAAAACAAAAGGTCTCCTCAAACGTGATCAATGGCACGATCACAAATTCTAACTAAACACAGACTGCTTCCTCAAACACCTATGTCAGGAATTATAAAACAACATCTTTATCGGGATCATGATGTCAGCATTACTTAACCCTGTGCTGACTGTTATATAAAAATATCTGTTTTATGCAGCATCAAATATCTATATATATGGTGCACGCAGAGCAGAAAAGAAAGCGATTGTTGTTATGGTGCAATGTGATTATACAGACAGAGCATTGTATTTGTATGCATATGCACGACCACATACACACACAGCTATGCATCCATGATTTTAGTGGACATTTTATTGGCTTTAATTCATCACCTGGACTTGAACTCCACCTTATCCATCGTTACCTGTTGTCTAACTTTACCTCTAAACATATAACATCTGATAACCTCATTACATTCCTTGTTTTTGTCCATACTGTGACTGTGGACACACGGAGGTCCCCACAGCGTCACATATACCTGCACCGTGCACATAAACACACATGCGCGTGCGCACACATACACACACGCACACCTGCTCATCTCCTTTCTGTTTCACTGTTCCCTCTCATCCATCGCCCACTCAGTATTTCCATGACAAATAAAATGCCACTCGACGGCACGACACACAATTCAGTGAGATCCTTTTAACTTCCCAACACCCACAGCCGACCTATTTTCTCTGTTTCTCTCCAACGAAGGACTCTGATTACAAATTCGAACATTAATCCTAAACCTGACCCCGAAGCAAACAATTTTCCTAATGAGGCACAGATAAAGGTCCACAGCAGCTTCCCTTTAATAGTCCTACAGGGACATTTACACGTGATAACAGCAGAAATGTGTGATATTAACAACACAAGCGCTGTGGTCACTCACAACCCATTTTATCCACTTATAGGTGAATAAAGAAATAAATCCGTATAAACCAGTGAAAGACATGAGGACTGGGCTATTCTCATTAAAATCATCTAATCCAAATTTCATATGAACAAGCGATTGTGACAGTAGTACCTGTTACAGCAGCACTTGAAGGCAGCAGCAGCAGCAATACTAAGCAGAACTGCAGTATAATCTAAATATTGCCGTTCTACACAGCTTGCACATGGAGCTTTACGAACTGCTGTCAGCAAACACAGAAATCCATTTCCGTGCTTTTACTGCCTTGCTGGTATTAAGGACTGGATGGCTTCTATTTCCTTGCAACCAAACACAAACAGGACTAAAGTTCTGGACATTGATCATGTCTTCAACACTCCCCACGTTGGACCAACAAGACAAAGCAACCAGCGAGAAACTTGACAGTTGTTTTAATCAATATCTCAACTTTAATTACCACAATAATATATTAGTTCAATCCTGCTTTCTACATATTAAAAATGTTGCTGAAATAAAACCAAATTCTCCCCAAAAACACAGTCGAACTCATCATCCTCACTCCTGCCTCGAACACTGCGACTCATCATTCGCTTCGCTAAGCGATGCAGCAATCGCCCTCATTCATTACACACATTACAAACCTTTCTCTGCATCTCAGAATGTTAAACAGCTGTGATCAGAGAATCAGCCGCTGTTACATGTTCCAGAGTCGAGGCTTGAAACAAAGGAGGGCCGAGCTTTTACTGTTTTAGCCTCATTGCTCTGGAACAAGCTCCTCTTACTGTAAATGTTTAAATATCCACCGGCACAAACAGGCATTCGTATAATACTATAGAATGTGTTTTCTTTAGTTTTTTCAAAGTTTTGTTACTATTCTTTCTTTGTGAATCATCTTGTTGTTGTTGGTATACATAATTCTAA